AATTGAAAATACCTTACTGAATGCTGTGCGGAAGACGTGGATGAGAAGAAGGGGTCATGAAATTACCAACCTGATCATTATCCTCATCAAAAACGTCAAAAAGCTGATCATCGGGATCGAGAATGCCGCCATCGCGTAAGCACTCAACGTGATGCACAAACACACAATGCTCTTGCGGCTAGAACACATTAGAAATATTGGTAAATTAAGGCTTCGGCATCCCTTCCGGTTTTACCGCACACTTTTGCCCCGATTCTCTCTCGGCACAGCTTCCGGAATCTTGGTGATCTTATTTTATTAGTATTTAATTTAAATGTTCAAAATTCACTTACGGTAACATAATTAGTATTCTGTTGGCAGTACGTGATGGCAGAACTGGCAGTGCTGCTGTTGCTCGCTGTGATCATCGTTTCAATGCAATGTGATAGCAAAACAGGACGATGCGACGCTTTTTGCTCCTCTTCCCTTTCTATATTCCAGAGAGTTTGTTGCTGCTGTTGTTACTACTACTACTGATGGATGGTGGATGAATGGTCGAATCAGCCTTTTCCGTACTACTCAAAGCGGGAATGGAAAATGATTGGGCAGATCAGGGTGCGGCGCATCCTGGCCTCGACGATGACGCATTCTCGAGCGAGCTCTCGATGCTAAATGCACATGAGCACGAAATATACAATGGTGACGCTCGCTCAGGCACAGCAGGGCGGAAGAAACACGAAGCTGCAATTTTCCAAACAATTCTGATCAGCCGCTAGGAAAGTCGATGGATTTCTGACTAGCAAAAACTGGATTTTACAGAAAAATAGGGAAAATTCAGCTATCAAGAAAGCGCGAACCGAGATCTCATACACTCCTCAAAAACGTAAAGTAGAAGGAAAGGAAGCAGCAGAGGGAGGAAGGAGCATATAGATACTTGAGGAGGAGAAGGCCTTGAACCATATTTTTGTGTAAAATAAACCCACAAAAATGCCGACATGGGAACCGTATACCTTTTCACTAACCTATCCTACCGCTCCCTCTCGTCTTTAACCTCGCATATCAAATGTTTTTCCCTTTCAGTTTATGATCTTTAGTAGCTAGTCATCATTTTTTCCGAGTGGGTCACCTCTAAAACTAGCCGTTTGCTTTTTGTCAAAATTCCACTTCAGGCGAAAAATTCTCCAAGTTTTTTTATCACATTCTACAGAGCGAGTGAAAATACGATGAAGGACTGTAGCTCACACATCAACACTTGCCAGATTCGCCAAAAGGAAATCAATTTTTACATGTAAATAAACTCGCCACAGTGTTTAAAAAATTGGCCAACGCACGGGCTGCCCGTGCGAAGATGCGTTTTTTGCAGAGTTCCCCGC